TTATATCCATTTTTTTTATAGTTTCGAAAATTTTTTAACATGTTTAAAAACTTGTCTGTGGAAACTAGAAAGAAACATACACAAAACTGTGCGCCTATCCAAAGCACAGTTTGGCCTGGTAATATCATCGTTTTTCATTTAGTTATGAAGTTTTAAATATTGTCAATTTGGCCATTTTGGGATAATGAACGCGCGATGCTTTTCGAGCTAATTACGCGTAAGCTGAGATTTATTCCGTGTTAGATATCAATTTAAACTCAATTGAGGTTTGGTAAATGGTGTGTTGAATTTTTTGATATCTGCAAAATATATCGCTTTGTACTTTACTTGGCGTGTGGGATGATGGTTTTTGAAAAAATGTCTCAAAAAAATAATCCTTTTTTTGAGATTTTTTTCCTTTTGCAAACGATTATTTTTTCATCAAATAGAGTATAAAAATCAGTCTGAATATTCAAGTCTTTGTACTGATGCGAGCAGTTATATTTTAAGACTTTCAAAAAATGACATCTGTATTTGTTCTCGGGGTGTTTTTTTAATTCAATTTTTGAGCTTTCAACTAGCAACTTTTAACAAAAACTTTTAATAGCGTTCAAAAACTATTGTTGTCTTGAGCTCAGACCAAAAAAAAATCATTTGTTTTTGTAGAGTTATTGGAGCTTGCCATTACGGCTAATTTGGCGAGAAATTTTGTGCTAAGAACGCGTGAGCGGAGATTTAATCCGTCTTAAAAATTGTAATAAATTGAACTGCGGCATGCTACTTGGTCTGTTTAATACTTTGCTTTGTACAAAATATGTCACTTTGTACTTTACAGAGAAAAAAAGCAGATGGTTTTCGAAAAAACTCCAAATAAATTGACAAGTTTCGACTTTTTACCTAGCATTGTTTTGACATTAACTTTTGAAATATTTCGAAAAGTAACGTCATCTTGAGCTCAAACTGGATATATATTTTTTAAAGGAGAAATTTTTTTTATAGAGTTGAGGGGGTTTGAAGACTGCCACTCAGCTATTTTGGGAAAACTGATGCGCTATACAACTCAATATATACAATTTCAGCGTAGATTTGATTTGCTTTAGAAATTGTTCCAAAATGAACTGAAACAAGCTATTTGATCAGTTAAAAGAGTTTTTTGTGTCAAGCAATTTACTTTTTATTTTACATAGCGTGTAGGGTGACGGTTTACAAAAGAATCTCAAAAAATTTTTTAAATCTTTTCATTTTTTTTTCGAAAATGTCATCGAACTATTTGAGCAAACAAAGTTTTCAGCCAATAGAGTTTAAAAGACAGTCTCAACGCTCAGTGCCTTGGAATGATGCAATCCATTAGGTTATTACGACATTCAAAAAAAGCTCCGAAGTTTTGTGTTTTTTTTTCTACCGGCATATTTAGACCTTTTAGCTTGCAGTTTTTTACACATTTTTAGAACATTCGAAAGCTATTGTAGTCTTAAGCTCACAATAAAAAAAAATTATTTTGACGCTTTTCCTAGGTTAATAGGCTTGCCAACATGGCCAATTTGTGATAAATTTTGTCTGTTAATGCGTAATCGGAGATTTACTCCGACTTAAACATTATTATAAAAAAATTAGGCATGCTTTTTAGACTATTAAATACTTTGCTATGTACAAAATGTGTTATTTTGCACTTTTCTTAGCGTGTCGGAGAATGAATTTCAGAAAACTCAAACACGTTTTCAATTTTCTTAGATTTTGAATTGTTCATGTTTTTTTTTTGAAGCAAACACTCTTCCTTAGACCTTAAAATGCAATCGGTACCTTTAGGGTTTTGCCCTGGTACAGGTGTCTTGTTGAGCTTAAAGACGGTACAGTAAGATACAGTAAGATGGGCAAAAAAGAATTGTGAAATGCTACTCATACAAACTTCATTCTTTTTTTTGCTAGATTGGTGTGACCGAACTTTTTCTTGTTCGGTTTAAACGTGTGTTGTCAAAAGAAAAGGAAACAAAATTTGGCGAAGAAAAGTGTTTGTTACAAATGAAAATTGAATAGCCTTTTTGATGACGACATCACAAATGTTGAAAACGACACCAAAAAAACTTTAAAATTACCCCAAAATTTTGCTTTGTTTTTTTTTCAGGCGCAAAACGAATTTTTAAACACTTCACAAAAAGTTTTGTCCAGAGAAACTCAAGTTTTTGAGTGCATAACGTCCTGAATACACAAAATTTCAGTGTACAGAAATCTTTCCTCTACAGTGTTTTATTTCAAAACGCCAAAAAAACGTTTTCCTTGTATTGGACTTTTTACGCCCAGGGCAATGCATGGATAATTAAAATTTCAAATACAAAAATTTTTGCCAGGTAAAAAAAAGCTTAAAAGCTTATTACTTTTCTTACTCTATTTTTGAAAGACATCTATTTTCATTTTGTTTCTAATGCATTGTACATGCATGACCATTACGTAAATCTTAGGTAACTCTAGTTTTCTAGTTTTGAGTAACCAGCTACTCTGTACTCTGTCCTTTTGTGTGCGCATACAAAAACAACAGTAAAATTAAGTGGAAATTTTTTTTTATAAATTAAAGACTTTCGGTTTATGAAAAAAAAGCCACTCACAATAATTGGACTTTTAACTTTAAAAGAAACCACTCACACTATTTTACTTTATGAATAAATGGACTTTTAATGCAGTTTTCAGCTCTTAAGAAATTGGATGAAAAGTTAATGATTATCATTTTTCCATATGATTACCAAATTGAGCAAGTAGGGTTGGCAATTCGGTTTCTGTTGGCAATACATTAATAGTGAATGGCGAAATAGTGACTTTGTTCTGGTTAAACATTGCTCCATAGACGTAAATATATATCACCTCACTGAAGACCTCGAGCACAAAAATTGCATCTCTTTTTTCGAACAACGGAAGAAAAATTAATGACCCTAAAGCTCTTCCAACTTCAGGATTAGTTCATGATCGACAATTTTTTTATATAAGAGTAACTAGTTTTAAGAAAACTGGAAGAATTTGAAAAAAATCTATTCCGTTGGAAGAACCTGAAATTTAAAATCCGCTTAAGAAAACAGAAGTCGATAACAGTTTTTCTGATTTTACTTTTTTGCTGTTCGATAGTTGAGTTTGCCTTCCTTTTAACTAAGGAAACAAATTTCATCTAAACAAGTCAAAATCAAACCGCGACATATCAGCCTTGAGGTTGAACAAGTTTTAAAATTTAAAAAAATTTAAAAACTCACAAAGACCGAAATGAAAGTCTTCACAACGTTCATCGATTGTTAATAAGCGTTTTCTCTGCGTTCATTGACTTTTTGTTGACTCAAAAATTTGAATTTAGGCATGCTGTTCAGTCCAATTGATGCCTTTCTAAAGGTGAAAGTAATTTGAACTTAATGCATTGACAAAATTAGAAGTCCATCACGTAATTCGTGATTTTCACTTTTGAAAACTTTTTTCAAAAATCAAAAGTTGGACCATCAAAAATTAAATTGAGTCGTGAAAACAAATTTGAAAAATTTTCCTGGGAAAAAAACGAACAAAAAATCACCGAGACTTATTTAATAGTCTTTCACAACGTTCATTAATATTGAAAAACAGTGAGGATCGTAAGCAAATTGAGAGAACCGATTTAGTTAACTGTTCTATCAAAAACGTTTATTGAATTGCATTAAAAGTCGATCAAGTTTTTAAAAGTCATTTGAAAATATTTATTACAAGGCAAAAATTGCTTTCCTTGTAATTGAGTAGTTCAAAATTAAATTTGCAATTTTTATTCCGACCCTGGTTCTGCGTCCCCCATAGCCTTCAAAATGTTAAACTTCTGTTTTATGGAGCCCATTTGAATCTGTTTTAGAAAAGTGTAAAGGCTTGGGTGGCTCCCTTGCAAAAATGCGGTCACTCTGAGATGCCTGACTTCAACGATTTTTGTCGTTCTGATCAAACTTTCAGCAGCTTTTTGCGAATGGTTCCAGAGACTCAGAGGATTATTTTCAAATTTTTCGTTTAATTGACAAAATATATGGCTTGGATGATAATTGAGGATCAATTTAAACACTTTTGAATTAGCTTCTCTTCTTGTCTCAAAACGAGTTCAATTTACCAATAGCACTCGCTGGTCCTTAATGTTACTCGATTTGAACATCAAATAATTAACCTGAAGTGTTAATTGTGGGACAAAACTGCACCGGACAAGTTTTCATATTGAGCAAGTTGACATAGGACAAATTTCCATGCGGGGCAATTTAGTATGCGGCAAGTTGGCATAAGGCCAGTTGTCCTGGGCCATATAGTCTTGATACCGATTCATCAACAACACTGGTTGTTTCAAGAAAGCTCGAAAATAATTAGGACGTAGAATTAGTTTTCTTCGCAGATTTCTTTTGCCTGCAGAAAATCTGGTGGTGGTTCGGCATCCAAATTGAATTTGATGTTGTTGAAACAAACAGAAGTTGAAAGACTTTCGGACATCAATGTTGCACTACGAGATTTTCTGTAATAATAGCTATTGTTGACTCTCATTTGTGGTTTCGTTGCCTTATTTGGCAGATTAAAAGACAATGGGTCTACTTAGTGTCTTCATGCAAGTGGCTAAGTGCGTCGTTCGAAAAATGTTGTCTCAATTACGTTTATTCAATTAATATTACCTCTCATTATTGCATCGGTAATTAGTTCAAACGCATTGCCAAAAATCCGGAATTTGAGAAACAAATTTTAAAAAATTTAGAGAACTTTCAATTTTGTTCTGCAGTTTTTTCCTTGTTATAGAATTATTTTCAAGTTGGTGATTGCAATCTGGCTACCCTATTCATTAGATTTTACGTTCACTGTTATATTCATGTTTTTGATGTATGCCAGGTTCGTGACTGGTCTTTTTCATTATATTAACGCAAACCACAATCCAAGCTTTGAGAGCGCAAAATTAAAAATCAGTGCCATCATTTTTTCAGTCGATCTAGAGAATAAGAATCCTATTAATCTCAAAAACTTCCTTCAACCATCATCACATTTTTTTGAGAATTCGCAAAACCTGAAATAAAAAGTTTAAAATTTAACCTTCTAGGAAAACGTCAAAATAAACATTGGCCACCAAAACATTTGAATTGTAGATTCGTAGTCATACAATTTTACATTACTAGATAAAGATTTAGATTATCTATTATCATCGATTTAGCACAGCACATTTGATACCATCATTTGAATATAGAACCGGTCACATGTACATATCAAGGTACTATTAAACACCCTGCGGCTATCTATTAAGATTGATGTTTCACAAATAGTCGCCTTTCAGCCTTGTAATAAGCATAATCAAAAGCAAATTTAGCATCCAGATATCATCAGCATCAAATTAATGTTTGACTTTTGAAAGATAGCGGATAAAATTTGACATAAACCCGTGATAGCGTGGCCTGCATTTAACTGTTTTGTTCATAACCAGTAAAATTTTTCATTCTTACATCACTTTGAGTGACGGGTGTTGAGTGTAGGTATTATTATTTCACTGCATGGTATTCACAGCATCTTTTGATCACATATAGCCATTTTGCAGTTCAACCGTTTGTATTTAAGCCCAGTTCCAGGTGTTATCAGGAACTTCATTGAAACCGCGTAAATCAAACACCGTTTCAAGTCCGTTTACTTCTAGCTTCTCAAATAGCAATTTAGATTGCAATTTGTAGTGTATGCTTATAATTAGAAATTCGAAGATCGAATCAATGGTTGATTATGAGCCTTGAAACGGTGCAAAATATTATGTAACATTGGAGAGAAGCTCACGGCAGACTTCAATTACCGCACCGACAAACAAATACCTGAGAAGTTACGGCCACACTAGATTTGATCTATCGCAGCCGTCATTTGCGCATCAATTTCAGTTTTTCTAGTTTTTCAGTTTGAGTTTTGGTTTTTTTGTTTGTCATTCAGCATCGCCTTTGAGTCAAATGCTTAAACTTCTAATAAATCCCAGCTCCCTTCATTGCAAAGAGCGAGAACTGAAGATTCATTCGGCAGCTAAAGGATCTCGTGTAATAGTAAATATAATAGTGTAATCAGTTGTAACAAACGCGTCTAAGTAATGATCTCAATGGAAAATAATTGTTTGTATAGCAAAATATATTGTAATACCAACAATAAAGGTCAGCTGTTTTGATCTTTTGATATTGCTTTTTGTTCTAAAAGCTAAAGTAAGGTCAGCTCCATAAAATCGGCGTAAGTTCAAATAGCACAGAAATTTCTACCTGATTAAGGATAACCCATTATGGTTCAACTTTACGTCAACTAAATTGAAGGCTGGATCAATGCATGCAAGATCTGAGATCTGATGATGACTTTTTCATTTCCAAGACATTTTTCGAAGCTCAGAAAACACGTTTTTAACTCCCTAATTATTGCGCTTAACGTGAAGTAATTTTTCTCGTACATTTACAGTACGCAACTGTTTTTCTTAACTACGATTTAAAACAACTACTTGTAACTAAAGAAACAGCTAATCTAATGAATGATAACAAGTGATATAGTTTGGTACATTTTCTGTTCTTTTCGATAACTGAAGAACCGATAAGAGGCGAGTGAGTCGATAGTAACAGTCTAGTCGGCAACAACGAAGAGTAAAGTAAGGACAAAATTCGGGACACTCTATTTCCCAATAACACATCCATAGCAATGACAACTCAAGCTGCTTCTGCTGTTTTCAAATGAAATAGGAGTAAGGATCAGGAAATCAAGACTGTGCGGTTTTTGTCTTCAGATAAAACAACCGCACACACAAGGCTCAAAAAACGAAGGGACCGAAAATTAACTTCAAAAGTTGAGAACGAGACGAAAAAATTCTAATATACATTCCAAAAAAAAGTAATAACGAGTCTAGTCTAGTCTAAGAACAAACGAGAAGGCTGAAGTTTACTCAGATTTTTTGCTTACAGTTTCATCAATATGCTCATTTTTATGGTCACTGAGTGACTTTCAGATGTTTAACAAGTTTTTTCATCACTTTTTCAGCAGGACAATAAACGCAACTAAATAATTCTAAGGTACGTAGGCATGGACAAGAAAGAAATCACACGAAGAACTAATAATAGTACATCCGATTCATTAAAAAAAATCTTTTTGTTTTGCTTTTCAAAGATTTAACATCCATTTTGGCATATTTGAAACAAATCAAGTAACTAAAGAAAACAAATTTGCGACTAAGGACAGACTAAATGATACTCCGAAAGTTTTGCTGATATTAGTAATAACAACACTATGTACCGTAACGCTTGAAGCCATAATCATCTAGTAAATCCCTGTAGTAAACTAAACATTAAGCCTGGTAAAAGGAAGAGAAGTAATGCCCAATATTAATTAAGATGATGGCTTTAGGTTTCGTTTTTCAGCACCATTCAAACCCACTTCGGCTCCAGCTGTTGCTTTGGAAGCAGGAACAAACCCAAACGCATTTTGCTCATTGATCATCCGATCACCTGCCCCACGAATATGCATTCCACCGACTATATCATCCGACAATGAAGAAACGGGATCAACTCTAGCACATTCGCCTCCTTTCGATCGCAATCCAAGACTGACTAGTAAAGCTGCTTTTGTAGGTTCTGAGCCAGCCTCGGCTTTTGACATCTCATTTTCAATCTCACTTTTGTTCACACTTTCAAAGCCAAAATCGGTCTCGGAACTTGAAGTCTTGACCAAATGGCCTTTAGACCGAATTGATGCCGCGTCGGCAAGGTCACCGCTCGGAAGATCCAGACTCACCCCATAGCCGGAACTGAACAAACTCTCATCGTCACTCATATCGAACTGTTGATCACTCATTTCTGACGGCATTCGCTTGTTTTTCAATCCGCCTACCAAAGTTCCATTCGCAGTACTCGTCGCGAAATCAGTTTCAGGCTCCGTCGCGGCGTCCAAGAGCATTCCAACAACATTTGGCACGGCATCACCGCCAAAACCCGAGTCTTCCGTTCCGAGACGGTGCCGTTCACCGGGAGAACAGTTGATGTCATCGTCATCTTGTCGCTGATCGGAAGATTCAAGAGGACCAGTTCGATATTCGTTCAGCTGTGCAGGAGTACTGGCACTTATCCTAAACAAAATCAGATTAAATCTTACATTGACACCAGTTGTTTTTCAGATGTTCATTTTTGTTTTGCATCATGGCTTTCTTTGTGCCTTTCACACATGTCTTCATGAAGCTATTTTTATAAGAAAATTACCAGGTTAATCTTTGAGTGTGACAGAATATTCCGACAACGAGTTCAGAGCGGAGCTTAAAAACATCTGTAATTCAACAGAGCAATATTTTAAAATAGTTTGCATTCCAAATCAGTAGCGGTTTTAGGGAGGGGACACCCGCCCGCCGTCAGGGATTTGACCCGCTGACAATCCAAAGGGTCACCCTGGATTCCATTTTAGTAAAAACCAATTTCGGCTGACCGACTATTAAATTTTTCTGGAGTCGCTTTTGGCGCCAAAAAATATGCTTATTTTGCGGGAAGCGCGCGCAGAAATACCGCATTTTTTGATCAAAACTTTTCAAAAAAGGCTAAAAACGCCTTTTTGGCCTGTTTCTTCAAAAAAGTGCCTGTGGCGCAAAAATTTTGCTCAAAATAGGGTCTTTATTTGGGAGAGCTTGAAAAAATCTATTTAGTCAGCCTAGAAAAAAGGTCGAAAAAAATTTCACAACTTTTCGGAAATTTTTGGATCCACCCCCCTCGAGAAATTTTTGGATCCACCCTTGTTCCAAATCCACCAGACAACCATTTGCTTTAAGATCTAAGAAGTTTCTACGAATCCTTCAAGATGAATATTCGACTTCGACCATTTAATTTTAAAAAAAGAATTCATTTATATGTCAAACTAACAGAATTTATATGTCTTTGATCACGAGGAATTTAGAGCTAAATCTGCGAGAAAAGAAATCATCATCATCATTCTTTATTTATACACCTCTTTTTGTGCTCAGAGGTGTTAGTTGATACGTTTTCGAGCTTCTATTTTGAGTGGTTTCGTCGGTTGTTTCTCGTATTTTGTGGGTTTGCGTTGCTTCCTATTGTTTCTTTTTATCTTTTCTTACATTGCACTTCATCGTATATTCATCACATAAAAAGGCTCGAGCAACTTAAAAACATCAGAGCTCTTTCACTCCTATGCAAGTCCACCCTCGAATGGATACATTAGCAGAGAAATTTATTTAATCGAATCAGGTCAAAAGCCCATTCGTTGAAGACAAAATTCTACAGATCTGGCAATAAATTTAAACCTTTCACATATATTTAACAATCGGCGATAAATCACTTGAGCCTTTGCTTACAACAAAACACCACCGCCCAGTTCTGAAGACTTTAAGAGTACACTTCATTTGACAGGCTATCTCATCAATGCGGTACCGGTAAATATTACGACAGTTGCAAAGAAAATTATTCCTACGCTGATTTGAACAGTTAAATACAAGAAACAAAGCAATCATTTTGGTCGCTAAGGCTAAATTTTCAAAATTCGTGTACCTCACCCATGGGAAAGACGTAACCAATCGGAAAGCTTCAAATTAATTCTGTCTTCTTAATGTCAATTTGTCTTATTGTCTTTTCGTCTTAATTTCCTGTCGTCTTATTTATCTAGCAGCAGTAAATGTATCATGTCGAACTCAAAAATAAACATGGCGGTAAAGAGCATATCAAATAATTTTGCAAAATCTTGCAAAACTTCAGAACTTGGCCATCGTATTTTTACAGATAAACAAACCTTCGCTATTTACTGGACAAAGTTCAAAGCTATTTCAAGTCACGTGGGAAATAAAAACAGCACGCGACGCTAAAAGACAAGCAACCAATGCTGTAAACAACTAGCGGGTTTTGCCAATCAGTTTTACAGAAGAACCTCCACCAAACGTTCTGGCTGTCTGTCGGGGCAGAACCCGTTTTAAATCTCCTTATAAGCTGGGACTGTATAAAATAGCATATAGATAAAATAGCATAAACTTTCCTAGCTTTATTTCATTGCGTGATTTTTGTAATCCAGTTAAGTAACTAACTAAAAATATCCAGAAAAATACTTAACACCCACATGCTACAACTATAACCCCTCACTACCCACAAAATTCAATGAGAGTTAGTGTTTAACCATTTTAAAATACATTTTTCTACGCTCAGTAACGAGCATACTTTCTGTTTCAAGCTTCGGCGACAAAGGCCATCCCTGAAAACAAAAACCTGAAAATTGGCAAAACAAGGGCGCTTGTTCTGCTGCACTTACATTCGTCACAATTGTATAGTGCGCATGACTCAGTGTTTGCGGCTAAATTAGATTGTTCTGCGTGGGAGTCATGAAAAAGAAAATCACGAAGACAAGGATATAAGTTTAGTTCAAATAATTTTAAACTCAGATAAAACCACCCAAAAAGTTTTTTTTTCAAAATAGCAGTGCTTCTTTTTTTCGTAAAATTAAAAATGCCATCATAAATTTTTTATAACAAATACAGATTGTAAAATCTAACAAAGATATTACTGAAATACTATTAGTCGATGTGAACGCAAATTGACAGCTAAAAATACTGAAATAATTTTATGAAAAACTTCAACTATTAACTTATTGCATTAAAGCTCTTTGGTTTTCCATAAAAATTTATGGGTGATATTTTTTGTTTTGATAGAAACCCAAGTTGAGGAAACTAGATCAAATGGTAAACTTTTTATTGAGCTGGAAAATCTGAAAATTAATTTACTTTCGAAACTAGCAGTCGATCAAGTTTTTAGTGACCTTCACACTTTTGCCGTTCAATAGTTAAGTTTGCCTTCCTTTGAATGAACTGAATTTAAACGGAATCGAAAGTCAAACCCCAAAAAGGTAAATTTGAGCCAAACAAATTTTAGGTTTTCCTGAAAAAAATCATCGCGACCAATTAAGAATCTGAACTCCGTTCAACGACTCTTAATCATCACGACCTATATTTTTAAGTCTGAACTGCGTTCATCGACTTTTAACAACCTCTGGAAATTAAATTAGTTTTTTTTCTATAACTTAATGAAACTTATTTCAATAGCGGATAGACCTTCAGTAACCGCGCAAAGCAGAAAATAAGTTGATGATTACGATTTGTTTCTTCATGATTTTGAACGAATAAAACACACAAAGAAAGAATTATCGTTTGCTGCGTAAATTAGCCCAGAAATTCCTACCACGGTTTTTTTTTTTAATTCAACGCTTCTTTGAGTGAAACTTTGGTGCCTAGAATAACTACTTTAGTAAGCGTTAAATTAAACAAGACTGCTCGTATCGGAACAAAACCCCCGAAGGTTCTGAATGTCCATAAACTGATATTGATAAACAAATAGTTTTTGGTTAACAAAATATTGACAAACAATGAATTTTAAGCTGAATATTAAGAATCATATATGGAATTAACAGGACCAATAAGCCTGCTTCAATTGAATGTTGAACGAGTTTGTGGTGCGGGATATTTTGCCTAGCGTAAACAAAACAGCTCGTATCAGGGCAAAGCCCTGAATGTTCCGACTGTCTTTTAAGGTCTATGAAGCAGTGTTCGTCTAAAAAAAAGATGAATTTTTCGAAAAAAAAAAACATTAAAAAAGTTTCGAGTTTTTTAAATCATCCCCACACGCCATATAAGGTACAAAATGATAGCTTTTGCTCCTTGTAACGCAGAAATTATGACAATTAGCCTGTTTCAACCAATTTGGAACGACTTCTATGAGGTATTAATTCGACTCTATAGAAATCGATTAAATTAACCCTATTAACGCTCACGCGTTAATAGCGCGAAATATATCGCGCGTTAATTGTCCCAAATTGACAATATTGGCAATCTTTTAACCCTCATAACTTTATGAAAAAAGATCACTGGTGAAATATCTTTTCACATTTGAGCTCAACAACAATACCTTTTGAATGATATAAAACAAATTCCGTCAAAAGTTCTTAGTTAAAAAGTCGAAATTGTCTGAAGAAAAAAAACCCGCCCCAAGCACAAATACTCCATTACTTTCGTTACGAAAGTCGGAGCAATATTGTTCGTTAAACTATCCGCATCAAAGTATCCCACGTAGCTCTTTCAGTCACGTTAGTCTATTAGTGAGTGTTTCACAACAATCTTTAAGTCAGTATTGCCTAGTGGAGAGCGCGCCCCTTCCAGGACCACGAAAATTGATTCCAAGAGAGACACATTTTCGAGAATTGGTCTGAGTAAAACCACCCCAAGCATATATATTCCTTACTTTCTTCGAAAGTCGGAAAAAATACTTTCTCAACCTAATTAACAGCTTCTTACTCCTTTTCCCGTCACCATTTTGGTTGTAAATCAAACCCATTTTCTTAACCAAATGTCATTATCTCTCATTTCCTCATCAAACAAATATCCTCAAAACCATCATCAAAGGATGCCTTAAAACTGTCGCATTCATTCATTAAGCATGACCACTTCCTTTATCGTCCGACACCAAAGACAAAAGATGCTAAATTTTGCAAAACTTAGCGCACAATAGAGGCTAAAAATAAGTAAAGTAGCAGGTAAGTAACGTAGCAGTTCTGAATTCGGGTCAAGTGCTGGCCCAAAGTAAACGACGACTCAAAAAACTTAATACCAAATGCCACAAAAAGTTATTTTTGTTCCGGCTTTCGTAACGAAAGTAACGGAATATTTGTGCTCGGGGTGGGTTTTTTCTTCAGACAAATTTCGACATTTTTCTAGCCATTTTTGACGGATTTTTTTAAAAATATCATTCGAAAGTATTGTTTTCCTGAGCTTAAATTTGAAAAACGATATTTCACTTGTGGTCATTTTTCACAAAGTTAACAGGGTTTAAAGATTGCCATTTTGGGACCATTAACGCGCGATATATTTCGCGCTATTGACGAGTAATCGGAGATTTAATCTGTCTTAGAAGTCGTTCCAAATTGGTTAAAGGAAGCTTATTTACCAAATAGATTTGTTAATAGGAGCGAAATCTATCATTTTGTACTTTATATGGCGTGTGGGGTGATGATTTTCACAAAAATCTCAAAAAATTTACACTTACTTTGTTTCATGTTCTTACTGCTCAATAGACCTTAAAAGGCAGTCGGAACATTGAGGGCTTCGCCCTGATACAAGCAGTCTTGTTGTTCCGACTTTCAATACGAAAGTAACGGAATATTTGGCTCGGGGTGGGTTTTTTTTTCTTCAGACAAATTTCGACTTTTTAACTAGCCATTTTTGACGGAATTTATTTATATCATTCGAAAGCCATTGTTGTCCTGAGCTTAAATTTGAAAAGATATTTCACCTGTGATCATTTTGCGTAAAGTTATGAGAGAGATTTAATCCGTCTTATAAATCGTTCCAAATTGGTTGAACGAAGCTTATTTGCCATAATTGATTTGTTGCAAGGAACGAAATCTATCTTTTTGTACTTTATATGGCGTGTGGGGGGATGATTTTCATAAAAACTTTCAAATTTAAAAAAAAAATTTCATTTATTTTTATTTCATTTAATTTTTTATGTTATTACTGCTGCTCCATAAATCTTAGTAGGCAGTCGGAACATTTAGGGCTTCGCCTGATACGAGCAGTCTTGTTTTCTTTTCAACTCAAGCTGACGAACTAAATATTCTCACAAAGACTATAGACAAAGCTGTACTATACAATTTGCCAAATGTTTCATAAGGCGAAAATGACATTTAATTCACCTAAGATATCCCGTGATTTTTAAGATAAAATTATAATTTAGGTTTACTTCCTATTCGACTGAACGAGCACTTAGTTTAAGCAAGTAGCGCATGCCAATAGGAACAGATGCTTAACGCTACGCCCGCCACAAAAAACATGTGTCAAACCAATAGAGATTGGTTTAGATTTATCTGCTGAGTACTGACTTGCGCCTGGAAGCATTCAGCGGGATGGGGTTGGAAGCTTTCACACTTGCACTTTCGAGCCACTCATGGTTCAACACTGCCTCTGCCGACATCCTTCTGTCTGGATCCCTCTCTAACAGTCCCTTGACCAACTCCACTGCCGCCGGAGACACCCGGCTCCACTCTTGGGATGGGAATGTCAGTTCTTCTTCTAAAATTGCGTCCATCAGGAGCGACTGACACTCGGTACAGTTCTCACCCTGTTCCCAACCGCACGGGTATCCACATCGACCAACAAAGGGAGGGTAGCCACATAGCATGATGTACCTAAACACAGCACATTACTCAGAATATCGTAGTGCATTGTTTCGTGATACGATAAGGACGATAGCATCGTACACCGATGGGACAATTCTGAAAAAAAAACTGAAAACAAACTATAAACAAGGATAACCGGTTACTGTGCAATTAGCACAGGATGTTCCGACCGAAGTCTTACAAAACACAACAATTCTGTACAAAATTGACTAGAAACAAAAAAATTTGGTCCGAGTTACGAAAACGGAATAATTATGCTCGGTGTGGTTTTTTTATTCAAGCAATTTTCGCCGATCGAAATAATAGTTTTCAACAAAAAGTTTTTAACACCCCATTGAAGATGTCGACTTCCTGAATTCAAATTTAAAAAAAATATTTTACCTCCGATTATTTTTTGTAGTTCTGGGGGTTTGATAATCACCAAATTGGCCATGTTCTGGACAAAATTATGCGCGCTTTGAAGAATTTATTCATATTGCTGATAACGTAACGGGAATTATTTATGCGTGAAGAATTATCCCGCACAACAAAATATTGCAAATTGAATTGAGGCTAGCTAATTGGATCGGTCGTATTAATTTCATAAGACTTAACATTTCGTACTTCGATATTGTCCAAAACTTATCGGTTTTCAATATTTTCTTTTCCCAACGACTATTCGATATGAATTAAGGGACAGTCAGAACAATCAGGACGTTGCCTGATATACGAGCAGTCTTGTTTCAAATTATTATCGAAACTTAACATTTTATTGCCAAGAAAGCACGAAAAAGAATGAAGCTTCGTAAACTGAGATTCTCACGGCTTAAATAAAAGCTTTTCCTTTATAACATCGGGGCAGTACAACAGTGCCGAAGTACAACAGTGCTGAAAAAAATTTAGTTCAACAGTGCCGAAAATGAAAACTTTGTTCTACAGTGGCGAAAAAATGAACAAATTTCAACATATTAAGTGCGGAAATAAAAAAAACGGCAAACGTTCACAATCTTAAGTGGCACTTAGAGATTTTGGGAGAAAAAATTTGCAATTTAGACGTTTTGGCGCCAAAATAATTGTTTAATTTGCAGTTGCAGACATTTTGGCGCCAAAATTAGAGTGATTTTCTTTGATACTTAGCGTCAGTAATTTCTCGCTCTTTAGAAAACGCGTGTAAATTATTCTGAATTTTTGCCGCCTTTTTCGGCACTGTTGTACTTCGGTACTGTTGAACGCCCCCGCATAAACTCATGCTGCAGAATAGTGACCGCCGCAGCCGCGCCAACAGGTTGCGCGCTTGCCACCAAAGAGTATGACTCTATACGAAATTTAGAGCCGGTTATCGCGGCGACGAGCGCGTAGCGCGCCGACCGACGACCTTAAACCGAGACTCGGCTAATTTAGTTTTTTGACCAATTGAAAAGATTTGAGACTTATGCGACTGCTATTTTATTTTGGTGCCTATGTGACTGATTTTTAATTTTGGGACCTATGAAAACGCACGTTTTCTTCATCGCAACTGGTGGCGTCTCTCATGCTTGAAAGACCGATTGCTTGAAATTAACTTTAGCTTACTTTCAGCCAATCAGAAATGAGTATTCAAAATCTCAAAGTAATTTGCAAAAATTTCAAAGTAAGAAAATAAATCCAAGCCATTAGTGTTAATATTGACCGATTAGATAATAAGCAGATGAGTTTTCAAGACTGAAAAATTCTTCTGATTTTGACTTCATTAATCTTGATGATTATCTGAATAGTATTGCTGTTGTAACCCGCAATTTGTAATTTTTTTGATTATTTTCCACTGATTTAATACATTTTCTGTTAATATTGACTTCGATTTTGTGAGAAAGGCATTTAGCCAAAAAAAACGCTTAGCGATTTTGATTGGTTGAAGTTTTCAACCATTCGGTCCTTTAAGAATGAGAACTCTCCCCATCTTAACTCACTGACAAGTAATTATATTCAAATGGACGGAAGTTAAAAAGACAAAAATGGCCATTTTAATTGATGCGCTTGTTAAACAAACAAAAGTTCGGAAGCGCGGCGTCATCGTATCACGAAGAAACAATTAACTCAGCAAATTGTAAATTTCACTTCTTGATTTTTCTCCACAACAAAACAGTTGTCACGCAAAACTGCCAACGATTCACAAAAAACTTTTTGAGACTGTTGAACACATTTTCAGTTTCGGCATTGCTGTACTTCGGCACTGTTGAACGCTCCCATTAATGTATTTCGAATCACAACTAATAGGGGTTTTGCTTTGTCTAATTTAAAGCAAGTAAAGCAAGCAAGAGATGTTATGGGGGCGTTCAACAGTGCCGAAGTACAACAGTGCCGAAAAAAGCGGGAAAAATTCAGAATAATTTACACGCATTTTCTAAAGAGCGAGAAATTACTGACGCTAATTATCAAAGAAAATCACTCCAATTTTGGCGCCAATATGTCTGCAACTGCAAAATAAACAATTAATTTGGCGCCAAAACGTCTAAATTGCAAATTTTCTCGCTCAAAATCTTAAGGTTTTACTTAAGATTGTAAACGATCGCTGTTTAATATTTGATTGCCGCACATAATATGTTGAAACTTATTCAAATTTTCGGCACTGTTGAACAAAGTTTTCATTTTCGGCATTGTTGAACAAAGTTTTCATTTTCGGCACTGTTGTACTTCGGCACTGTTGTACTGCGCCCAATAATGAGGTCATCATCATCATTCTTTATTTAGACACCTCTTCTTGTTCTCAATTCAAAGCATCTTAATTCGCGACTCCAATTGTTAGATTGCAATTGATTTTATGAAAGTAGGACACATACACATAGGATCAGATTTTAAATCAAAAATAGACTCCTCTTATATCACGGTTCTATCTGAGCCTCTGTTCCATAAAATACCCAATTCACCTATTTATTTCCGCAGAAGACTGTTCCTTTCTCATTAGTCCCATTCATTTTCATTTTCTGATACTATTACCATGCGAAATGTATTTGCAGCCTTTGTAAAAAAAAAATTAGAAGAAAACTGCCGCTATGCTTAATGTTCATTAAGAACTGAGAAAAAAGAACTGAATGCGGTGCATGAAATGCATAAAAAGACTTAAAAATATATCTTTTTTTCCTGCTGTTTAGTATGCAAAACAGATTAGATTCAACTAAGATCTACCTCTTATAGACCTCTCGACCGAACAATTGCTTTTACTAGCAAAAAACTCGTCACGAGACAAGCTAGCAACAACAGCATTACAAATGCGTAGTACAAATATCCTTTTTTCGCTCGAGTGAACCAACAAAAATGCTTTTATTAAAAATTCCACCGCATAATAGCACGCAAAGCAGTGATTTTTTAAACCACTGTGGTTGATATAATGACTCGATTCAGTCAACCAATAAAATCTCTTTCAAAATCACACCCCTTCACTTACTTCGGACACGTATGTTTTGATATGCCATGTTGAGCACAAGGAGATGAAAGTCACATGATTTCCAAATGACAGTTTAACTTTCCTTAAATTAACTTAAAAAAACTTAGTCGTGTATCAGTTCAGCCCCTTGGCGCTTGTCTTTAAAACATGGAAGACAAATCAAATTTGTAAGTTAAGTCAAGCATCCAGGTTACATCAATCGTACAATAACACATAAAGCTGGTAATAAAAGAGGTCATTTGCTGTAACGGCGAGTGACAAATAATATTCTTAATTGATGATTTGCAGAAAAAACATATGACCACCACCATTTGCTCTAACAAGCCAAATAAGAACTGAGTTAACCAGCTGTTTCGTTTTTCGACCTCTATACGATACGACCAGCTCAACAGGCTTGCGATTTCTATTTGGTTTTAGTAATTTCAAAAAAGCATCAGGTAAATGGAATTGTATACAAGGAGGTTTACAACGTACAAGCATAAGTGTACTTAGCAGTTTTTCTTTGATAAAACTCAGTGGAGTGCGCAGAAATTTTTCTAGGGAGGGAGGGCGGTTTTTCAAAAAATGTTAAAAATTTAGTCGAACTTTTTCATTTGACTTTTCGAGCTCTCCAAAAATATTATAAGAACTCTATTTTGTCTCAAAACTTTCACCGCTGCAAGCAAATTTTTCAACCAAACGGCCAAAAAAGGCGTTTTCAAGCACTTTTTGGAAAATTTTGACCAAAAAATTGCCTTTTTTTGGCGCTCGCTTCCCCCCTCAAAATTAGTTATATTGGCGAAGCGAGCGTCTTTAATTCCTTTTGAAAAATTTTGAGGTTGGTCAGCCAAAAATGGATGTCTCAAAGTTATATCAAAGGGGGGAAAATACCCCTTCGCACGCTACCGATAAAACTATAGATAAATAAGCAGCAGCTCTGCGAAGCAAAGCACCGTACTTTTTGCTATTGTGCAAATAAGACTGAAAAATATACGACATCTTCTTGATTAAACTAGTTAAAGAATTCAATTGACAAAATCTACGCAGGCGAGGTTATTAATTGTAGAGCAAGAATAAGAAAACTAGGAGACACTTCCAATATAAATTTGCGAACAGAACAAGAAAAACGAAAAAAAAATTGAACCTTTTTTTTTCAACTTTCGAAAAAGTATATATCACATTGAAGATCTTTGAATTTCAAGACTTGTGTATGATCGGCACTTCCTCTTAAAGTTATAACATTTTGATAAAAATGGATCGGTAGGTTATTCTACATTTTGCTGAGAATTCAGAATAATAAAGCCGATTTTTGAAACTGAAGGTATGCACGTTTTTCGTGGCATTAACACGTTCGATAGCGGAGTTTTCCTTCCTTTTAACAGAGGAAATGAACTAAAGATATCAAATTTCAAGCCGCCAAAATATCAGATGTTAGCGTGAACATTCACTTCAATCCTTTTACACTCTAATATGTTCCAACGTAGTAGAATTGCTCGATATTTGCAGAGAAGCTATCAGTATGCCTTAACTGGTCTATCTAAGAATATTCTATTTCTGGAGTACTACCTCACACTCCAGACAGCAATTTTGTGCCAAGCTCCTTTTTGAGACAAGGCCGTTTTTGAGTCTATAATCTTCCCTGTTGATACCCCTATTGCAGCAGAAATCGGCAGCATGCCGTAGCCCCAAAGCTAGAAATCAAGTGAGAACTCGTCCTCACTCACTATAATTGACAGGGGATCAAACACTCGATCTGACATTCTCAAAACCTTGTCACTATTTTTTTCAAAGCCTTGCCACTAAAACATTCAGTCACTTTTCCAGAGCATTCCTTTCCAATCAACGAAAAGAAATTACTTTTTGTTTCAATTTTCAATCAATATCCAATGTATCAGCGAAAAATAATGCGAATGATATTTTTCAAAAGAATATTCAACACTATAACCAAAAAGTTTCTATGATAATAAAATTTTAACTATTAAAGAGCTTTATGTTTATGATCTACTGAAATTTTGTCTGAGATCTATAAAACGTAGAAAACCGAATGAATATCTAAATTCTTTGTTTTCACTCAAAACATTCGTTTGTAAAATAACCTATTCCCCTCTTTTTTGCAAAAAAAACTAAGTTGTACTCATTAACTAGAGGTTCAAGGTTGCTTAATATTTTGAGCGGAACAATCTTCTACCTATTAACACTGGAAAGTTGTTCAAAAAATGCTGAAATTCGTTTCGTCCACAAATTTAGAGACAATTACATCCTAGGTAATAATGAGTTAGTACATGGCGTATTTAAAAGAACTGGTTTTCCCCTTGAAAAATTTGGGCTTGGTTTTGATGCTACCAGAGATCCATCTGAGTCTATGACTCTACCAAAAATATGACCTTCCAGAAATTGCTAGTTTTCGGGAAAACGCCATTTTTGTTTAAAAAATTTGAAATTTAAAATCGGTGCTTAATCTAGGTGCTATCAGAGACCCGTCTGAGACTCTGATTCTACCCAAAAAGTATGTCCTTCCAGAAAACGCTGGTTTTCGAGAAAACGCCATTTTTTGTAAAAACATGAAATTTTCAAAATACTTACAAAAATACTTGCTGCTTAAATATTTATCTACATTTACACATTAACAATCTATGTCTAAGTCAGTATATACTGGGTAGACATTTAGTTTAGTCTAATTTGCCCTTAGCCTAACCTCCTCAGATAATACGTACGTTTACCAAAATTTAATAGCTTAATTTGTTTGATTTTTTCTGTAAATGTATTTGTATGTCGTAAGAAATAGATTCTTTCTTTCTTATTGTTCCGACAAAACTCATGTAGTGGGAAGGAATTCAGGCGCAGTTGATTTGTTTCCGCACAATTCAGAGTACCTAAAAAACTCATAGAGTCAAGCATGGCATCATAATTAAGCATTGTGAATCCTTACTCCTTAAACTGACGAGAAAACCGTATCTAAATATTGTATAATCAGACTCAAACTAAACGACGAGCAGATATTTTGGCAAAAAACAATGCGCTTATTCTATGATGAACTCTTTTTGAACATAACCAACAGACACTTCGAATAGAGACAAGGAACGCAATGAAACTAAAAGAAAACTGACAAAGAAACTTTTGAATTTCAATTTTAAAAATATGTGGCCCCTAAGGTCTTTTACGTTCATGAAAAATTTACGATTGATTCTTTTTTTTTGATAAAATTGCTACAATTTGTAAAAAAAACTGGATTGATAAGAAAAGTTTAGTTCGCTGATAAATCTGAAAATCAAAATTTCGAAATTAGAGTCGCTCACGTATTTCGTAACCGTTACACTTGTGCTCTTCGACAGTGCAATTTGTTTTCCTTTTAACAGATGACATGAGCTGAGCTCGAAAAAATCAAAAGTGAAACCGCGAAAATTCATATTTAAACTCAAGGAAATTGATGTAATTGTGAAAAAATCCCCTGAAGTTTCCACTTTCAAAGTAAAAAATCTATGCCCTCTTCGATTTTCAAGACGAATTAAACTTTTATAAAAAATTAAATTTAAATCCACTCAGTAAATTAGGAGCCAATTTTCGTTTTGTGACTTCTACATTTTTGGTGTTCGATAGTTGAGTTTGCCTTTTTTTTGAAAGGAATAAAACTCAACATAAAATTCATTCAAACCGCGAAAAATCAATTTTGAACCTGAACAAAATTTAGACTTTTCATTAAAAAATCATCACGACCTTTATAAGATTATGAACTATGTTTATCGACTCTTATTAGCGTGGCCAAAAAAACTGCGCGCTTTTTGCTCTTCAATATTTTTCTCTTGTTTTAACAATCAGTGACTTACAGAATGACTCCGAGACTCCACAAATCACATCGCTTGTCGTAGGATGTCGCATCACTGGATCCAAGGAACACACTGACCACCTCGGGAGCCATATATTCAGCCGATCCAACCGGAGACACAAGATCGATAGAGTCTGGACTGTAGTTCGTTAGAGATGTCGCCTCCCTGATCCAGGGTGCCGAGGCCAGATCGAAGTCACAGATCTTGACAGGCGCGATTGAGTGGGCGTACTCGCAGAGGACATTAGCCGGCTTCAAATCTCGGTGGGCAATTCCTAAAATGAAACAATTCAATTACCTCTCCTCTCAAAAACTTAGCCAATATTCAAGACAAGTTGATGATAATATGTCTTAAAGATCTCTTTGTTGAAGTCAAATTTATTACTCATTTGTTTGGAACAAATCATGCTATTATTAAAAGATTTTACCGCATTTTTCTTTAATTCATGTGAGACAATTCATGTCATGAATAGCCAAGATACTAATTGAGCCAATATGAAAGCGTTAGAATAAATTTTCATTTAGCAACAGATTTTGCTTTATGCTTTTTGCAATATCTATTCCTTCCAAACACTCGAAGAGTGGAAAGGAATTAGGGATTCAGGCTGGTTTTATTTTCAGCCAAAAAAACTATGGCTTCTGCGACTCGTAGAGGATCTATGAAAGGCTATCTATCCTGTACAAGCTTAGTCAGTTTCTTTTATTTCCCACATTCCAGACTGAGTTATTTTGTTGAGCAAAGTCCTTATTATGCGACTCAAGGTCGTTTTATTGTATCTAGAGCTTTCACGTGGTAACACTATAGCAGCCAAATTTCGTTCTTTCTACTGTAGCAAATTTTATCACAGAGCCGAAGCTGCGCTTCGCAAACTCTAGCGAGAACACGACAAAAAAAGAAGCTTCATGAAGTTAAGTAAGAAAAGATAGAAAAAAAAGCCTCGAATTAGTAAGACTTTGCTTAGTATAGGCCTCAAACCTGCGACCTTGAGAATTGGAGTCTCACGCCCTGCCCTCTCGGCACCGAACGCTTAACAATCGGCAAACACTGGTCACAAATAAAGCAGTTACATATGATAACATATTTCCAACGCGATAAAGTATTAGTTTGAAATATAACAAACTGAAGGCATCCACACTAAGTATACATGTAAAAATTTGCGAGACAAACTGAATTAGAAAATTTCTGAAAAAGAGTTTTAATTTCCGTCATGTTCTTTGAAATAAATAGCTTTATTCAGATAATTTGTGTATCAACTGTGTTAACTTGTTAGTATTCGAATGTCGGAGCACATGCTATCAAAAACAGTTAAGTTGCTCCATAAGTAGCACCAACATTTCCGACTTGGAAAAAAAAGAATAGACGTAGTATAACACTAACGCTCACTGAAGTTCGCTAACCTAAAAATGAATGTAGTCCCTGGAACTGAAATTTGGACAGTATGTTTCAAATAAGTAATAAGCATAGAGAAAATGATCACATCCGAACCAAAAAAAGTTCGCAATTTTTCAAGGCAAATATTTTCGCGGGTCAAGATTTCGTCTTTTAAGTTATTCATTTAACTATAGTTTCTGCAATTCGAAGAAGAACTGAGAAGCGATCCAGCTTTCTAAGCATAGCCCGTTCATCTCATTTTCGCACATTCCAGACAGTCACTTTGGTGATCAAAGCTTTTTTTGCGTCTCAAAAACGTGTTTTTGTTTAACTCGGCACCACTATTGCAACCGAAATCGTTCAGGCAGTGGTAGACCCGAAGCAAGATGTCAAGTTTGAGCTCATCCTCACAAACTATCATTGGAAGTGGATCAAACAGTCGATCTGACATTCTCAAAGCCTTACCACTAAATTTTGGAAACTTTCTGTCATTCTTTCCGAGCATTCATTTGCGATCAACTATAACTAATAACTTATTCCTACAAATCTCATGTGGAAAAGACTTCAGGCGTAGTCAATTTTTTTCCGCGCAATTTTGAGTATTTAAAAAAGTTCATAAAGTCAAGCATGGTATCATAATTAAGCCTCTCATAATTAGAGTATCATTAGTATCATAATTAAGTCAAGCATGGAATCATAAAGAGCAAGTAGTATCAAAACCCAGTAGTATAGTATCAAAACCCTTCTGGTTGTAATTTCGATTTGAAAAAAAAACAACAAAAAATGTGTCGAGAAACGCCTGTCTGAATATTTTCACTAATTTACACGAAACTTAAGGAATTCGATAGCAATTATGTACGCTCTCCAACCAAAGTCCCAGTTTCCCCTTTGATCTTTTTATATGACATCGATGTATCACCGACCAACTAAAGATTTCATAAAGTCGCCAATATATATATATACCAATTTTTTAGAGGAACGCGCGCGCCAAAAAAACGCAATTTTTGACTCTTGTTTCTGAAATTTCCTTACAGCGGAGAAAATTTTGCAAATAAAGGGTCTTCATACGGTTCTGGGTCTTTCTAATATGAATATCAAAATCGTCGAAACTTTATTGAACCCCTCCCCCTTACTTAAAAAAATTGGCAGTGACATAGGACAAAGATGAAAAATTGAAAAACGAAATTTCTTAATTTTTCTTTTTCTTCACTTTTAAATTCATTTTCTTGAATTATCGAATAATCATTGTCAGAAAAGTCTATGCTACATACACAGCAATCGGCTAGCCTTGATAATTATACTTTCAGTCCATTCGTTAAAAATCTTTGTTCTATTTTTAAAATACATTAATGAAACTAAGCAAGCAGAGCATGCCTGAGCTTACAACTTTAGTCATACCAAGCAATTATCTACCACTGCTCAGATAAACTTGCCTAAAAATTATTTTAATTTTAAAAAAGAATTAGGTTTAGGCTTTGCTGACCCATAGTTGAGCTTTTCGTCTATATAATCTACGCCAACTATGTTTATTTATTAGCCGATATCTATTTTTAGTTGCTTCAAGCTTTGATGCATTGGTGCACTTTTCCATTCAATTACCAAACGAGTTTTATCTCCTTTTCGTCTGACAAACTCCCCGTAGACTAAGATAAAGAATGAACCATGCTGCCTTTTCATTGCTTTCACTCCGCATCCGCAGTTAAAAAAGGAAGACATCTTAGCCCTTAGGCACCGCGGGGGAAGTTCTACCTTTCATAAATCTCTCCAATTTGTGATTGTTCTGTCTGGGTTTTAATGTACCTATAGTCCCCTGGGACAGGTTTGAAAAATCCTCCTTCCATTTCAGAACCCAAGTAAAAACGATTGCTGTCAAAAGTCGGCCCGGGAAACCACACTTGATATAACAGCATTCTGAAAGATTTCGATAATGGGGATTCCACAGCCAGCGATTTCACGATCTTTCATCTCCACAACACTGACCAGAAATTTTATTTGCAATTTATTTTTTGGTATTTAACCAAATTAAAACTAAAATGAAAAATTAATGACGTTTTGGTTAAAAAAACACCAATTTTTCAGTGCTAATTGTTAATAAGCATTTACAAATGGATTGAGAAGGAGGATATTAATTTTGGCCCCATTACCACTTTTTAGACAGTTAGATCCAGGAAACTATTTTGTAGACAATTTGAATGCAATTTGCAAATTAATGCAGATGTTTGGACCAGCTGTTGTCAAAAATCTCTATATGTATCTTTGGTGTTCTATATTGATATCTAATTTACAGTCTTTGCTCAAAGTGAATTAAATAGCAAGCAGATGGTTGGCCAAACAAAACTTGTACTTTTGCATTTGCAGATGATCTGAACCGCTGCTGCAACAAATCGATCTGATTCCTATTTGCTATGATGGGTGAAGAAAGTTTTTAGTGATATTTCATTTCAACGTTGGATGCGTAAACAATGTGAATGAACGTCGCGACCTTTTGAGAATGTCTTTTAGGTTCATGACCAGATCACCGTCATTTGCTTTAATAATCATCGTTAAAAATTAGGTATTTATTCAGCTAAATTGCGATAAGTTATGGCAAAACTAATCAATTTTGCGCTATTTATATGAATGAACATTTTTGTAAGCGTCTTCAATGTTACGCTTTCTATGACGTAGGTGCAAAATATAAATATGTGAACGAACACGTTCATACACTTTTCTGTTGCAAGCTTTTCTAAGGCCACTTTTTACACGTCACAGTTTATTTTAAAAAGACTTGCGAAAGGTAATGAAAAGATTTAGTTAAGCACGTCGACCAATGTACGCGGCGCTGTTCTACTTCTTAGAGGGAGTGCAGTCAAAAAGTAGACAACCTTTATTTCATACCGGTCAAAAATTAGACAAATACTATATTAACCAATCAGTATCGAGAAAAGCAAGCGCACTCGGGAAATAAATAATTAATTATCATTTACTTCCTAAGTTTGCTTGCTGTTTTCTGTTGTATTAGATAGGCAACAGCTACATGTGATATCACAAATATTTGTGAACAAATCGTGACACGTACCGCGATATGAACAAAACTCGAAATGCAATATGGGCTGTTGCTTATCCGGTATGAAACACATGTGAAAATTTTGAACAAAATACCCAAAATTGAAAAAAATTTCCATGCTCACACGTGATTTTTACTTTCTAAATTGTTTGGGTTAATTGTTTTAAGAGAAATATTGCACTAGTGTTTCAATTTCATACACTAGTGGACAAAATTAAGCGCAAATTCAGGTTTTACCGAGAGCAAATAATCAGAGCAACCATCTGAGAAAGTGTCAATATTTGGTTTCAATGACTTACTAATGTAATCCGGGTCTGAAAATGCCAGTTTTCCCCATCTGCACTAAGTTGTTCATCGTGGTGAAGTCTTTCTTGAATAAGCGGAGTAAAAAAATTGTTCATGCAACTTGAAACATTCTCAGCGGGAAAATGGAACAAATCAGTGTGAAAATTTTAGTAACCTCAGATGTTTGATACTTATTCACGCGAAGTAAAATACTTAGTGCAGATGAGAAAAACTGGCATTTTACACACGGATTACATTGGTAAGTCATTGAAACCAAATATCGATACTTTCACCGATGTTAGCTCTGATCATTTGCTATCGGTCATGTAAGATTTTTACTGAATTTCGAAGGAAATGTTGTCCAAAATGTGCACTGAAAAAACAGGCATTTTACAGAGTAAAATCTAGAATTTGCGCTTAATTTTGTCCACTAGTGTATTTGAAACACTAGTGAAATGTTCGAAACACTAGTGCAATATTCAAATACACTAGTGGACAAAACTAAGCAAAAATTCTAGATTTTAGTCTTTAAAATCCGTCTTTTTGATGTCTATTTTGGACATTTCCTACGAAATTCAGATAAGTTTATACACAGACGAAGAGCAAATCATCAGAGCTACCCTCTATGACACTATCAATAATTGGTTTCAATGACTTACCAATGTTATCCGGGTCTAAAACTGCCTGTTTTCCTTAACTAAACAAAGTTTTTCACTTCGCGTGAAAATGTGAAAAACGTCCGAGCTTAGTAGTTTTCACACTGATTATTTTCTATTTTCTTGCTGAGAATGTTTCACGTCGCATGAATTACTTTTTACTCTGCTTATTCAAACAAGAATTCACTACGATGCAAAACAATTCAGTGCAGATGAGGAAAACTGGCATTTTTAGACCCGGATTACATTGGTAAAACATTGAAACCGAAAATTGATAGTTTCATAGAGGGTAGCTATGATCCTTTGCAGTTAGTCTATGTAAGAATTTCACTGAATTTCGTAGAAAGTATTGTTCAAAATGGTCACCGAAAACAGAGAGACTTAAATCCTGAACTTGCGCTTACTTGTGTCCACTAGTGTATTGCACCAGTCTTTCAAGTCTTGCACTAGTTTTTCAGATAATGCACAACTGTTTCAAATATTAAACTAGGTTTTCAAATATGGCACGGTGTTTTATTGGTTAAGATAGTTGTTGTCTACTTAATGACGCTTTTACTTTATGACTAGTCTATTTTTGCTACGTAACCTTCTTAGAGCGACCCACCACTTGACAATTTTGCAGATAATCCTGACAATTGATCTTGTGAACAAATTTTAGATCGATCTTTCATATATTAGACAACCGATTTGAATCTGGAGAAATTGCCCCGCGAAGAGCTGCTTCCATTTTCCCCTAAGCCCTTTCCCTAAAACATGATCTTTTCTCCGCAAAATTGCAATAGTTTTTAGGACCATATGAACGGTCTTTTCTCCTCCCCTTGTAAGTGCGGGGGATGTCGTTCACATGGGCCCATAGTTTTAGTATGCCTACGTCGCGAGTATGTTGTGTTTATGTGGGATACCGTTTAGTCCATATTTCCTTCCTGTCCGACCTCGAATTAAGCGTTGAAAAATTCAATTATGCACAGCATAGCTTCCGAGCCTTGTTAACTATCTTCAAGTTGCACACGCTAAATCGTTGAATTAGTCTTTTATATTGCATTTCGTTACTAAGCACTATAGGGCGGGAAAAAGTTTTTAAAATCCTAGCTTCCAAATCATCAACCTATGCATAGATTACGATTACAAATGGTCACAAAAAATGATAGAAATATTGAAGACTTTGTTACAGTTTGCTATGGTTCTCACTTCACTCTTAGGAACTTATGTCATCATTTGAATGCAAAATTTTAAGGCGGATGTTCAACAAACCATCGTATTTTCAAGCCGAAATTACATAAGGATTGGGTCGGCTGCAAGACAACCTTTCTCATTTTTTCGGACACCTTTTAGGGCTTGTTTGAATGATAATTTTATCTGTGGCATGTTGATTCTTTGACTCGTTGAACTATCACCAACTTTTTTGCCTTAATATTCGCCGAGCTGCCAAAAAGTACATAACATAATTTTAACAAAGTTTATGCCTTGATACCGGAAAAGTTTTTATGACCTGAAGGAAAGTATTTCTAGGCTCAAGAGTATGCGGACCTTTAGAGTGCAGAAATGCGAGGGCGGTGGCGATGTCCCGAGTGACCAGACTGGCGTCCCTCTCGGAGATGGGTCCATTGTTCAAGTGGTCTACTAACGCACCCCCGTTCATCTTCTCGAAGATCAGGAAGAACCTAAGAGAACACTTAATTAAACCACTAAAATATACGACGGAGCGTGAGAAGAACTTACCTTCACTGCTTTAAAATTAACCAACAAAATATATCATTATCATCGTTGCAAAGTCTTTGAGACTACTGAATTACTCTTCTTTAAAACATAGACTGCAGTATTTGCTGAGGTTTAAAACTAGCTAAAACGATCAAATATAAATTAAGAACAAGGCATCTCATCCTTCTAGCTCAACTTACGAATGAAACCAAATACTCGTTCTAGGGTGTTCCACCCATCCAGATTAGGGACCCAATTTTCATAATTGTACCCAAACCAAGACTTACATTTGGTCCTCTTCGTAGAAGTCCAGCATCTGCACGATGTTTGGCTGGTCTTTGCACTGGTGCAGAATCTCCATCTCACTGAACAGACGAGTGCGACTGTGTCCTTTCTTGTCAATCACTTTAACAGCAAACTCCTCCCCCTCCTCCTGCTCCAACTGTGCCCCCAATGCTTGACCACTACCCCTTCCCTGTCGACTGCTGCCGTTGCTTCCTCCGCCCCCGAGGGTTCCCTCTCCATCCAGGTTTACTGATTGACTGTTGGTCCTACTCTTGGAGCGTTCGCTGGATCGAAGGGAGCTGCAAGTGTACACACTTCCGTAAGAGCCACAGCCCAGAAAATTTTCACCATTGCATCGGTAGTTGTCTAAACATATCAATAACGTTTATCTAAACATGTCAATATAAAACCTTTAAAATAGTCGTAAATAAATCATCAGAGCTCTACAAAAAATATCATTTCTTCTTTCCATTAAAAATATTTCATAGCCAATTAAGTCGGTTACGCAGCTTTAAAAATTGCAGAAAATGCTTATATATGCTTATCAAGTTGAAGAACGAACAGGACTGAATCAAGAATAAGAACCTGAAAATCTGGGCTGAGAGAGACTCTCTGATAGTCTTTTTCGTCTCGACCTTCTCTTTTTAGTTCTCAGTATCACCGGGTCATCGGTCCTCATCGTCTGCACCGCGTCTTCATCCAGTTGAAAAGTAGTATCTGGACTTCCAACTTTTCCTCCGGATCCTCTAGCAACCGCACCCAAACTGATCTCGTTGTTAGGCGTCACTCCCGCTGCTGCTCCCGTTCCCATTGCACTTTCTGCTAATCGAGCATCAGCCAGCAATCGCAATCCCGGGGATGTATCGCGCCCGTCCGCTCGTCCCGAGGTTTCCAGCATGACTCAATGTCAAAAGAACGAACGGTGTCGCGCTGTTAACTAGGAATTCGTAGTACTCACTCGCAAAATTCTGTTTCATTCAATTTTTAATCAGTTATGTTGAATGTGATTTCAATTTCAATGCGAACTATTGCAGGTAATCAATATTGCTCTAAGAAGATGTCAGATATTCAAATTGCAATCGAAACTATAAATTCGAACAAATTATCTTCCGCTATTTCAGATGCCACAAATTAAACAACAATTAATGCCTCTAACGTATAATGTAACTTATTGATGGGAAATTTAATTACAAGGCAAGACAGAGGGGACTCTAAGGTTTTGGGGAAAAATGAGCTTATTCCTCAAATTTTTGCCATCTTTGGTTACTGACTGTAATTTCGCCCAATGTAGAGTTACAATTTGGCTAGTTAAGTCAGTCGATTTTCCAGTCCTGAAACAGAAATTCAGTTTTCGGAAGGTCAAATTTTTATTTTGTGCATATTCAAGAGTAAATTATTGAGTGAACTAAGTGAGATTTGAAACTTAATCACGCTGATTTCGCGTTTTCTTTTAGAACACATCTAAACTTGGAAAGGTCAAATGCATGAAAAATTTTTTATATTTTTAGAGTTATCAAAAGCTAAGCTTGCAATAAGCAAATCATTCAATCCGGTGAGAGGAGCGCCAAAAATGGTGAATTTTCAACTCACCGATTTGTTCCTGCTCCCGAAGTTTGAAGCCCGTTGTTAAATGAAGGCTAGTCAAAAACCGTCAATATTTGCTTCAGACAACGCCCATTATAACCATCCAATTAGTACACACAAATTGATAAGCCCAACTTTCGTCAGCTTGTCAACCTTGCTCAAGAGAACTTAACTGAAACCCCGATTGCCGATGTTGGGGCAACTCCGAAGGTTTAGTCGGCTTTTATGTTTTTCTCGATAACTCAAAAGCAAACTGCAGATTAACTAGATTCAATCAAATACTGAATAATGAAGTCACATTTCCAAATCACGAGGTTGAATTTTCAGCTAAATAAACGCGTTTCTTCAGAGCAAACGATTACAGGCTATTTTGTGCAAAGCTACAGTATAATTCAACGCAAAACAACGAAAAGCTACAGTACAAAATACAAAATGAGAGCTTGTGACTATATTATATGTGAAATGTGTAACGTTATTGCTTTTAGCCGTTCAACGTGGCACAATTATTTATAACAGTTTGCAAAAAGTATAATACTGCTCTACAGGAATAAATTATACGGCACAAATACAGAAACCGGTGCTAGGGATTTAGGCAGACCGGTTTTTTAGCAGAACGGTTTTTTAGCAGACACAGAACAATTTTAAAGTGTGATAGCTAACCTCAAATGCGTCATTGGCGATTAGTGACCGCTTGTTCCGCTGCGCTTCATTCCAACCCGAGTGTTCTTGCGCGCGTAGACCTTTGTTTTGCCGCTAATTTAGACTTGTTTTTGAATTTGATAGTGTTAATGACAAATCGCGAAATAATTGTCTTAATTGGGGAAACTTGGCGTCTTTTTGAGTCTGTCAATAAATTATCCATCACTTTATTACGTTTTTCTGCTAAAAGACTCATTTTTCACATTTTATGCTAAAAGACTTTTCTGCTAAACGATCGGTCCCAACAGACACCAATGAAAATTTTGCGTTACTCGACCGACTATTCAATTCAACACGAAAGTACTACTAGTGCTTTCATTGGAGCACGACTGGTACATTCAGGTGTGTTACGTAATGTAATCTGTATGTTATGCAATACTGTATGTCATAGAAAGTATTCGTTTGCCTTTTGACCGATCGAGAAAAATAAAGAATCACATTATTAAAAAACTAATCAGTTCAAATAGGAGAGCATATTGGTCACAGGCCCTAATGTGCTCATCATAAAATTTGGAATTATACAAATTTTATAATTGCAAATGTTTCGATTGGCTATAGATAGACACAACTCAGGAAAATTAAGTTCACTTTTATCAATAGGTCTCATGATTGTTTCGATTTGGTGCATTTGGTAGAGTCGGACAATTGTATTAAGTATCGGCCAATTGCACAAAACCTTCAGACGTGCAGGAAAATTAAGTTCACTTTTATCCATAGGTCTCATGATTTTCGATTTGGTGCATTTAGTAGAACGAATTTGCAGCAGATTGACAGACCAGACCAACCGCATTTTGCAAAAAAAAATCATGTTTTTGATGTTCTCTTCAAGTTCCTGGATCAAGTTAACGGTGGCCAGTCAATAAGCAGAATGGTCCAAGAGCAGAAAACAGAAATTATTAACGTTTATAAGCTGCCCGTTAAATCAAGTATAATAAAAGTCAATATTACCAAAGAAACTAATATTTTAAGCATCATTTGAGTAATTGGACCAAGTTAACATCCTCCTCCCAAACACCTTTAGGGGGGACAGGGGCGGATCTAGGATTTTCTCGAGGGGGGGGGCAGATTATCAAAAAATTTTCGAAAATTTTGACGACATTTTTTTTAGGTCGACCAAATAGATTTTTCGAGCTCTCCCAAAGCACGGTTTTGTCCCTATTTTGGCAAATGTTTTTGCGCCGCAGGCAAAATTTTGAAAAAAACAGGCCAAAAAAGGCGTTTTTAGGCACTTTTTGGAAAATTGTGACCGAAAAATTGCGTTTTTTTTCGGCGCTCGCTCCCCCCTCAAGGCGCCTTGAGAAAAATTTTAGGGTCGGTCGGCCAAAAATGGATTTCTTAAAAAGTATCAAAGGGGGGACCCTTTGGGTCGGCAGGGGGTCGAATCCCTGAGGAGGGAACATCCGCCCCCCCCCCCCCTCCCCCCTAAATCCGCCCCTGTGGGGGGAGGATGTTAACTTGGTTCTAAGTGGGAATTTTCAGCCAATAGGATTTGAGCTTTTTCACACGCAGCGCTTAGAAAATTTAATTTATATTGAACGCTGGGGTGGAGGATGTTAACTTGGTCTTTTGGGGGGGGGGATGTTAACTTGATCCGAGTAATTTAATCAAGGTTTTTTTTTTTAAATCAATGAAAAAAAAATTGATGAAAATATTCAATTCATGATTAATTTATTCATTTTCTTGGTATTATTGACGATTCTCATTCTTATTTTTATCAATTTACCCGTATTAATCAGTAAAAGTTAATATTTTTTCTGTTTTTCTGCTCTTGGACCCATTCTGCATCTTGACCATTCTGCTTATTGCTCCGCCTCCAGCCGAAATATCTCGCTTGATTCGAGCAAAGTCGAGCACTCTTTTTCGGTCGAGGCCATTGAAACATATCTTGTTAGAGTCGAGCACATTTTTGACGGTCGAGACGATCGAAACATGCCGAAGGACCAAGTTGACAGCCTCCCTCCCCCCCCCCCCCCCCCCCAAGCCGTTTGGGGGGTGGGGATGTTGACTTGATCCCATGGCGAATTTTGGTCGAGACGGTCAAAGCATGCCGAGCTTCGGCAGAGACGGTCGAAACTTAAAGTGAGCACCTCGACCCGGGAAGTTAACATCATTCCTCCAAACTGCCGGGAAGATGTTAAATTGGTCCAACACCCCTTCCCTCTCAGGGATTCGGTCCTTCCCAGCGTTAACCTCTGCACAAGAAAAATGCAAACCAAACATATCATGTATGGAGCCAGGGGCGGATTTAAGAAAGGGGCGAGGGGGTGGACGCTTCTCCCTCCCTCTGGGATTTGACCCCCTCACCAACCAAAGGGTCAACCCTTTGGTATTATTATGATGACCAATTGACCCCCCCCCCCCCAGCAAAAACCTAATAACTACTGGAGTGCCCTCGAAATTTTCCATGCATTTGTGAATGCACTTAGATATATATGCACTTTTCGAGTTGACTTCAAGTTCGTCTGCTAAAAAGCAGTCAAAATGCGCTATTAAAATACGAACGGCGAAATATGGCAAAAAGTGATCGATTT